AAATAATTATAATTTATATACTGACAAGATATTTTTATTAAATCTAGTAAAAATTAACAGAGAAGAAATTTGAACGAAAGTTTTTAAACCACAAAAATTTAATACAAACGTATACAGAGTTGTATAGCAATACTACAATGTTGGTTTAAAAATTTGTTTACCAATCAGATACAAAATAATATAGTTTTAAATTTTTACACTAAAATTAAACAAAATTAACTACAGAAAAATACAGCTATTTAAGTAGGGTAAGTCAGGATAAAACTCTGTTTTGGTATTTCAAAAATGATCAAAGATACTGAACAGAAAAATTCAACTAGATAAGCAAAACAAAAAACCCATCAATTTTTTTATATTTATGAAAGTAAAAGTTAAAAACAAGTTGTTGGACTAAGCGGATAAAATACAAAATTTAATTAATTTAAATAACAAAACAATAGTAATAATTTTATCTCTTTCTAAAGGTGACTAAAGCGGTGCTAAGAAAACATCAGAGAGAATAAGTGGATGGAAGTTTAAACGAAAATTAGACCTAATTAAATAATGTAATATAGTTTTAACGAATATTAAAGGGTGCTAAGGAAGACCAAAAAGGTATTATAAAAATAAGGGGGAATCAAGGAGGAAGGCAAATGAGTATTATGAACACAAGGTAGCTAAGTGATATTATAAAAATAAATTAAGCTGAGGGGGTCAAGAAGTATTGATAAAATGAGTTGGGGCTGACGCGGATTCTTTAAAATACGTAACCTCATTCAAACACAGGAAAACTGAGCTAACGTTACCTTATATTGAGGGGGGCTGGAGAGTGGTTGATGGGGGCTTAAGAGGGGCAATGGAAAGTTGAAGGATCAATGGAACACTAAACCTATTTAAAATAATATAAAAATTAAAAGAATTTTACCTTATTTGAAGAAGGTTTGAGGATGAAGGAGCGGATGTATGGAATGGCTCCCCTAAATCACTGTATAATATAGGTCGATCAATAAATACGCTGTGGTTTGTGCATACGTAGGTGTGTGAGAGAGTAAAAGAGTTAACTAAATGCTGCACTGCTGTAGTTAATAACATAGGCTCCGTGCACAAAGACACCAGCGCCAACTTTAGGCTAAATGGTGAGTCTGCGTGGTTACAAGAATACATGAAGTAGCATGGTTGCTGAAAGTCAATATTTTTTTTTCATTAATATAAAAATCTTTTCTTATAGTCTGATCATCTCAATTAGAATCCTTAACTCCTTAACTTTACGATAAGATTTTGCTTTAATAAGTTGAAAGATAGACATATATTCCTTTGTTGCTAGTACGTGTGAGCTATATTGCATGTGTTACTACTACTAAGTGTTCTCTATCTCTCTCACGCTCTTTACTGACACATGCAATGTAGCTCACAAGTACCAGCGATAAAAGGATATACATCTTTTTTACAAGTTATTAAAGCAAAACCTTATGATGAAAAAAATATCGTCGTTAATTTAAGGAGTTAAGGGATTCTAATTGAGATGATTAGACTATTAGGAAGGATCTTGATATTAATAAAAAAAATTATTGACTTTCAGCAACCATGCTTCTTCGCGTATTCTCGTAATCACGCAGACTTACCATCCAGCTACAAGTTGGCGCTGGGGGTTTTTGTATACGTAGCCTGTAGCAGTATACATCTGTACATGTTTGTTTATACATACAGAAGAATAGAAGACCTATGTTCTGCAGAGAGTAGACTAGAGAACTGAAGAGGACGCTGCATAGAAAGACTGTGTGGTAGGAGATAAACGAGAAAGAAAAACAGCGACTATGATAGTATCTGTGTGCATGTCACTATTTTTTGTACTATGTATAGCATGTTACTAAAATCTGTCAATCTGGCTATTGCGTTATATTTCTTTCTCGTATTTATAAGAAATTACAACTACACTGAGAAAGATTTAGTGCCACAGGTGCCACTCCCCCTACAGCAGTTATACCAAATTACAATTAGTCTGCTGTCTCTGACTAGTGGAATAGCAGGTATCTCAGTCCAAACAACCTGTGTACCAGCCCAAGCAGTGAAGTATCCTAAAGAAGCATCGTAGCATTGCTTATAGTATGATTAGACGTACTTATCACATATTAGATGGAGCGTATGTACAGGTCTTGTGCAACTCTCGTTTCGAATGGTATCGCTCACGCACTAAACTTCCAAACTAGCACTGTACTACCAGTAGTACTCTGACGGCGTCAAATCTTTTCTAGTGTATATGAACAATTGTTTAGTAATTATAGTAAAAATTGTTATGCAAAATTTTCTACAACATACGACAAGTTTTTTGAAAAGTCAGCGTAAACTTCATCATCGTACAAGTATATACTATACGTGTAACTTTTGCATCCTTCAAGATACCCCACTTGGGATGAAGTTGCGAACATTTACTAAGTCCAATAGGACTTTTTTTCTACTGTATCTTCTGATAATATTTTTTCAGATTTGTGAGTTGATTTCAGTTGATAAGCAAATTTTTTTCCAGCTTTAGCTGATTTTGACATTTTTTTTTTAAATGTTAAATTCCAAAGCTAGTTACTGCATACTTCAGAAGTCCAGAGCAGTTGTGTCAAGAATAAGTCCCAAAAAATCACTTTTACCTGAGAAAGTAAAATTATTTTTAAATGCAGTCAATATTTCATCCAAATGAACTTCCCCAGAAAAGAATTTTGTTGATGGTGGAGAACCACATTCACTATTAAAATAAATAGACTCAATTTTTTTTCGGATTGTGCACCTTATATAATATGAGTTTTTTCACTACACTTATTTATTTTTGTTATAGTAAATAATCCAAACGTTTCATACTTTTTTTAAAAATAATGCTAATGCAGATGTAGAATAACTTTATTACTTCAGTTGCAGTAAAAACTTTAATAAATCAACTGTTCCAGTTATTTCTGCAAACAGTTAAAATCATAAAAACAAAGTATAGATATAAATACATAATCCTCACCAATAAGTATTTTAACTTAAATTTTAGGAATCTTTTAAACCAACGTAATAATAGCTTCTATAAAGATGAGCCGATATCATAAAGCATTTATACGTACTTGAAGATACATCAATGAAGAAATTTAAAATCAAATACTTGGTTACTAGCGTGACGTCGATCAAGACATATGGTTGATTATGGATTAAAAATTTTTTTTCTTATTTGCTTTATTTACAAATAAATTATTTTACTTGTAAAAGATACTAAATGACATCATAAAACTACTAAAACAAATTTTTAGAAATACTTTAGCGTAATGTATGATAAGAGATTTTGTTATTTTTGGAATTGGACTCAGCAACTCAACCTGAAAAAGTTAATTAAGGTTATGACTTAAGATCAATTAAGGACAAAAATATAACCAGATTTATTTGGGGTACTACGACCTTAAAATTTAAAAGAAAACATAAACGTTTGAATTAATTCGTGTAGTATAATTCGTATAAGTATAGTGCGGCTGAAACATTTACAGAATAAATATGTTAGTTGAAGTTTAGATGCCGATTGTGAACAGTGGAGAGTACTTGATGTAAACACTCAGACAGGGGTGTTAATATTTTTTGAAGACACCTCCTTGAGAGGCGAAACGTCAACAATCTTTGATTGAAATAAAGACATTCACTCCACACATGGCTTTTTAATTTATTGGAGATACACACACGGAGTGAGAGAAAAAAGAAAGAAGAACCATAAAAAATAAATTCTTTATGCCTAAATTGATGTATATTTCGGAATCAGTTTCAGGAAAAAATTTTAATCAAAGTTGTTAGAAACATAACTTTTATGTGATTTAGCGTATTAAAAAATCACTTTTGGTTAGGGAAAAATACTGACCTTATGAGATTTACATAACATAATTTTTTAGAGTTATAGATTTTTCTTTTGAAGGTTGTGAAATTATGAGAATGTACAGTTACGATGCCTCAACACATTGTAAGGTTAGTATTATTTGTTGTATTATTTTAATTGATAAACATTGACATAATGAAGCTAAATCAGCATTAGGTTAAACTTTGTGACCAGATAAACACATGATTTACTTATCGAGTCTTAGTATTTCGATTTAAGAGAATCAAATATGATGTGAGTTTGTAACTATTTTGTTTGTTTGATTGTGTATCGAGGAATCCAACACACAACTTGATTAACTCTTTGCTTTTGATCATGGATAATATCAATTAATTTTTTTTAAAACAATTTTTGTACCATAATTTCTTTAGAATACAGTCTTGACTTTGCCTGTGTCCATAAATCCGGTACTTTATATTAGGCAAAATAAATTTCGGATTCGAGTGATCTGGAAAACTTATGCAGCAGATTGACTAGTAAAAGGAACTTTTTTGTAGATTGTTTTATGGTTTTTTTTTATTGTTTAGTTCCGAGCATAACATGTAAGTACTAGCTGTAGAAACACGGAGTTCAAACAAATTTAAGAACTAATTTATAACCATGATTACAGTGACTTTAAGGCATAGTATTATTTAAATAATTTTTATTTTATTGTCTACATATGATGTTTTCATGACTTAAATATGTGTGTTAGTGTGACTGACACTTTGCTTTCCTTGTTTTTATTTCCTACTGTTTTATTCTCAAATTACCAAAAATTTATGTCTGTCCATTTTTTTCAACGTAGCTTTGTTTTAAGGTTGTATTGGTACATTTCTGTATTAGTCTGTATGATTGTATTATTGTTCATGTTTTTATACTCACGTTTAAATACTGTTGTCACTATATTCAAGATTCAGTTTCTCAATACATTTATAGCTTTTGGACTTTGTGTCTACTTCATTCATCTGTATTTGCATCGTACTGTGCACTAACGAGAAAAGATGGTTACTTTATATATATGTAAGTTTATGTATACGTACCTTGATATTTATAATGTTCAATTTATTTATAAGTCTCTATTCATGTCTATATTTTGCCAATAATTAGATAGTAGCTTTTGAGAATTTTTTAAAATTGAATTTTTCACTTTACTCACCCCTTTCTGGTATGGTGCTTCTAACATAGCTTCCACGTCTAAATCTTCAGCCATCATTTCCAAAAAAATTTCTGAAAAAGACAGTTTGAAGATAAGAACATAAAATCTTTCAATATATAAGGCATTAGAAACACCAGAACAATACGGCTACATAAAAAAGACAGGCTCTGCCTTCATATTGACAAAAAATCTAATACATTTTTTGCGGTACATTAGCTGAATATATTCATAACTAAAGGACTGAGTGAAATAACTTAAAACAATATAATACCATAATATCAAAGTAAAATAATTTTTTTTAAGGCTATCCACCAACGCTATCAATGAGAAATTCTCAGTTAGTTAAGAAGCCAAAAGGATCTGAAAATCTCTTTTAAGGAAATTTTAAATTTTATGATGTTATTTTGGACCAGGTATCTAAATGTTTTAACACTAAGCTTAACACTTTTATAAACATAATGTTCTGATAGAATGTTTTTAAAACAATTGTCAATTACTTTCAACACTAGTATTTTTTAATTAATGAAATATTTATAAACAGCGCACTTTTAAAGTTTAGATTGAATTACAAAAGCCTTAATTGAATTATTTGAGCCTATCATCCGAAATAATTAACTGTCTACCACAAAGCTACCAAAATCATATCCTTGCATGGTGATTTTTGTGCGAGCAAAGAGCACAGCTGGGCGTGCGTGTTGAAATCATAAGCGTTTGATGGAACAGAAATATTTTTATTGCAAAATAAGGCAGCTAAAATAGTAGAACTGTAATACTAAAAAAAAAAAAAAATTAACACGAACTCAAGGGGTCCAAATACTCCATCAAGAATAATCTCCATTTTAATGATCCTAAGATACAAGAAAAGAAATTCATGCATGGTTTAAAAATAACCAAGCATCAAGAGAGAGTGTCTTAGATTGTTTAGGAGAATTCTGGTTGAAAAAAAAAAAATGGGTAAAGGTAGTTAAATTCGAAAAAAATCAAGGTGATTTTTAGCAGGCAAAAGAAAGCAGCCAGAAACAGCAAAAAAAATAGGTCAACGGACTAGAGAGCCAGTGGGGTAGGAGAAATAGGGAGGAAGAAAGAAGGATGAGAGTTGGCGGACGAAAACAGTAACAGTTTTAATAAAAGTATGGATAAGATCTATAAAAAGTTGCAGTATACGTAAGAAGAGAATTTAAGAATGGCGAAGCAAAACAATCTGTTATTGACTTGTAAATGATGTGAGGTTCGTTTTTTAGAATTGTGCTGGTGTTTTGAAAATGAACCAAATCTCTGGGATTTTATAGAAGATTTTGACTAGATAGGTTTATGTTTAATGTAGATAAAGCAAAAAACAGTGAAAAATCATCAAGTCATCTTTCAAATAAACTTTTACGTCAATCGATTTCAGCGGTAAAAATAAATGAAAGAGGTGTAACGAATGGAGATTTTATAAATAGTATAAGAAAATTAGTACTTGGCGATGATAAATATTTTATTACTAGTACAAAAAATAATATTGTGATAAATAAAATAAGGATATGTTATAGCTTAATCGATAAACGGTCAATGAGTAACTCTGGCAATAGAAGGGTAGTTTAACATAGTCAACAAAATCACTATGCAACGATATGCCTCAGATGACTGCATTAGTTCGTCTTACGCTCTCACCCTGATGATATTCCAAAGAATATCTCGTTTACCTCTTCTTTAAATTGACTAATCCTACTTTTCTTGGTCACACGCTGTAGCCTACAGTCCTAACCCTACACTACCGTTTGAATTGCTTTCTGACTCTTTCACTGATAATACGTCGTTATCTGTCCATCTCACCTTACGTACCACATATTAAAAATTATCTTATTTAGCTATAACTTAACTATTAAAGAAATCCATAATTTTCTTCCTTAATAAACCTTTTTATCCTTTTAATATTGACTCCAAAGCTTACACGTCAACTCTTCTTTCCTCTAATGCAACGCTCTCTATCCTGACTTATACAGGTTATGTCTCTACACTGGAACAAATATTCTACGAAATCAACCACACACGCAGAATACCTCTGAGGTTCTAAGTCTTGTAAGAAGGATCCAATAGAGATGAAGGTAAATTTAGCTACAGCGAAATAGGGAGAGAGAGAGTGAGTGAAAATGAGTTTATTATGCCATGGTCAAATTGACCGTATGGCAACAAAGTTTGACAAAAGTTTAAATTTCATAAGGTAATATAATATAAGTAGAAATTTTCGCAGTATTAATAAACTTATTTGCTCGGGCGCAGTTTGGAGAAAAATAGTATAAATCGAACTTATACATAAATTTTGCGCAGATATTTTAAGTACAGGTAAGATTAATATTACGCAGCGCTTAGTAAAAGATAATAGTACTTGTGGCATAAAAGAAAAACACAGGTAAGATGCGATTTACTGCTTAGTTTGACGCAATAAGAAAGTCGTGAAATGCCCACCTAAAAGACTCAGAGGTTAGACTCCTTCTCACAGCATCCATAATCTATCCCCAGAACTTTAGGGCACTAATCTTAAATGATCGCTCATATGTAATCGTCTGAGCAAAGGGTACGTTGAACCCGACCCCCGCCCGTCTCACAGACCACCTGAAACCATCGTCACAAGAAAAAAGATCAGCAAGATACTGTGGTTTATTTTTAGCCAATATCTGATATAATGCCCTTCCCAAGGTAAGCATTCTGCGCGATTTGATAGTCAGCCAGTTGAGTCGACTGCATAGCGGTTTCATCTCAATATCGCGTCTGACCCCGAAGACAAATCGGACGATCGTATTTAATAGTTTATGCAGCTTGACATCAAGGTAAGCTAGTGATGCATAATCAATGTACGGCAACATCAGCGCAGTGACCAGAGTCTTCCTTATTTTCCAAGGTAAGGAGCCACCCCTGTAGCGCAGCCTATGAAGCGCGCCATAGACCGAAGAGCAAACACGAGAGACCTGCGCGTTCCATGTTGAGTCCTCACTAAGGATAATACCCAGGCTTTTAATTAATGCGACGAAGGGTACAGGCTGGTCCCGAATTAACACTGGAGGCAAGAGCGATCGGTCAAGGCGCATGTGTTGTTGCGTTGTACTAAATGTGATCGCCTTAGTCTTTAACAGATTCAGGGAGAGCCCGTGACAATCCGCCCAATGAACAGTCGATGCTATGTCCTCATTTAATCTTTCTATAGCGGCAGCCAAGTTAGCGGGAGTACATCGGATATAAATTTGCAGATCATCTGCGAAAAGCATAGCCTGGAAAAATGAGAAGCACGACAGGATCGAGTTCACAAATATAAGAAACAATATGGGGCCAGGCGATGGCCCCTGAAGAACCCCAGAAGTCTCTCGACGCGGCTCAGTCTGCTCGTCATTTTCACTCGCGACCACCTGAGAACTCGCTATAATATATCACACTCAGAAGCTATGCAAAAACCTAACCAAATCCGCTGAAAAACCCACATCACACAACGACTTTAGAAGCCTGCGGTGGTCAATCTTGTCGAATGCCTTTTCAAAGTCAAAGAAGACCGACACTGTGAGCATACCCTTCTCCATATCCTCGCGAATATCTTCAGTGACCTTTAATAGCGCCATCTGGGTACTATAGCCTCTGCGAAAACCCGACTGATAAAGTGACAAAAGCGAGGCACTCTCCAAGCACGTATAAATTTGGTTCGTTATTAAAAAAATCAAATACCTTTGCAAAGTGAGCAAGGTTCGCAATCGGGTGCGTATCAATCGGGGCCATCGGGTTCCTAACCTTTGACCAGGGTACAATAGTGGATAGCTTTTACATATCTGGATATTTATTTGATATAAGCAAGAGGTTGAACAGATGTACGAGAAATGGGGCTATGATCGATGTAACGTCCTTGAAGTAATTCAAAGATAGACCATCATTACTTGAGCTCTTGGTCTTAGGTTCACAGAGTATGATTGTCCGGAGCACATCCACTGTGATAATAGGGCGAAAAGAAAAACCACGATCACGCGCACCCCCAACAATACCCTCGAGGTCATCCGAAAAGTAAGGTTTTTGCGCACATACCACCGACGAGAACTGATCCGCCAAGGACTCAGCCGGCAGGCAGGTCAAGGATGAGGGAAGCCCACCCGCAATGAGACCAAAACGTCGCAAGATCTTCCAAGAGCCAGACTGGCTGGTGGCATTTAATGATGCACGCCGGAGAAACCTCTCACGAGCCCGGCGCACGGCTACCCTTACATCCCTATGAGCAGTCCGATATTCTCTCAGAACATCCTTACGACCCCTACGTCTAGCCCTCTTATAGAGCCGATCACGACACCTAAAAAGGTCCTTGAGCTCGTCAGTGAACTATGGGGCGGGCAACCGGCGGTGACGACGCTGCCTGTAGGGTGCATGAGTATCAAGAAATCCAATAGATATCTCTCTAAATCTTTTAAGAGCCGCATCCACGTCATCGCCATACAATACACCCGTCGCACGCTCCATCGCCACACGAAATTCCAACGAAAAGGTCTCAGCCGGAAATCACGCGATCACGCCTGCACTCGAGTAGGACCCGCAACATCAAATTTGTAGTCGATGTAGATATAGTCGTGCTCATCTATAAATGGAGCATCGGACTGGCCCGATGAAAGAACTTTATCTAGGAAATCAACCATAATATGGTCAATCCAGGTGTGCGTATTACCACGATGATGCGTTGGCCGAAAGCCATCCAACTTCATTGAGTAATCAGCGAGGAGACAGCGAAGATGTAAAGAATAATAATTTTAATTTATTATATCAATGTTAAGATCGACGGCGACAATCAAATTTGGATAGCGCACAGCGCATCTACTAAGTGCTTCAAAGAAAGTTGAAAAAACTTCTCCTTTTAGAGGTCTATAGGTCGATGCCAACAGGACCTTATGATGTGTTTCGGAGCTCAGTTGGAGGAACATGAACTCTGTTTCATTGATTCTTGAGATCTTTGACGGTTCAACAACTCGACACTGAACATTATCTCGAACGTAGAATGCGACGCCGCCATCCTGTACATACTCTCGCCTGCCAGTGCACGACCTCAGCCTTCTATCATTTTGATACA